ATTCCACATTATTACAAAAAACATAATTTCTGGACATTTATGGTTTGATTTCTTTGTATGTATGGATCACTTGGGTTGTTACCGACATCTGGTGAGAATTTCATGTCATTAGCACCTCTAGTAATATATTTACTGAGAAAAATGTTGACGTGTTCAGTACTTATTTTACACGCTATAACTGTTCAATGCCACTGCTAATTAGTCACACGTTTAATGTCTCATCAGCATATAATGTGATTTTAAGCACTGGCTTGTCTTTATAGAATGATTTATCTAAATCAGCTTTGTAGAAAGATTTGGTAGAATTGTGTGTGAATGGGTAAATGAGGTCACAGATTGTAGTGTCAAATGCTTTGAGTATCCCTTGTTGGATAGAAAGGCACTACCGTATATACTGTGAGCACTAAGCATTTACTCGTACCACTAGTCCTTCAATTAAACTAAAAGTGTCTGACCATAACTTTCAAATTAGACACAGTTTTTACTTGTAATTTAGTTTAATAAACTTCAAACACATAAAATAGTGCAGCTACATCTTGGTAGGAATGCATGAATCATATAAAAGTAATAATTATTTAAACATACTGTTAGTCCTTTCTTACTGTTTTTGTTTTTTAATAATAATTTTGTTGAAGCAGAATTCAAAACATTACTTGTGAGGAAGGAGTTGTACACTGGTGAGCTGCTCTGTCCCCGATTCCTGGCAAGCAAAGACACCTTATACTGGGTGTCAGGGTGCAGGTCTACCAGGTGGTACTGGGTGTCAGTGGAGGACAGCTCAATCACATGTCGATCAACAGGGTTTAGGCTGGGCCAAAAGGCAACGGTGATCCCATCCACAGCAGCCACAGGTTGGAACCAAGTCACAAGGGCGGTGGTTTCTGTCACATCACGCACATTCACCTGGCTGGGGGCATCAATCACTGGGAGGGTTGGGAGGAGAAGAAGAAACTGTGACTTTCTACAGCTTAAAGTTTTTTATTAAACCTTATTCAAGTTGGCCACCACAACTATTAAAGATCAAGCAACACAGAAAGACCACAACATAGTCAGGTTGTGCATTTTTCCCCAAATGTATTTGCACTTTTTTAAATTATATGTCAAATTTAACAATTTATTGCAATTTTTGAGGACCCCCAAACCACAGCACAGCACACATGTCCCTTATGGGTCCTGGGACCGCCAATTTGAGAACCTCTTCTCTAAACAGCGGGCATTAATAAGACCTTTCTTACCCCTTATGGGATTTCTGAGGTCATACCAAAGATTTTTGTTGCAGCCAGTAAAGTTACATTGCAGCATATTTTTGCATCCCAGAACAAAGTGAGAAAATGTATACTTACTTGTGACAACATTCTTAGAGGCAGGAGGCCCACGCTTATTGTTTTTCACCACCTCCAGTTTGACCTCATACTCCTGTCCTGGACCCAGACCAGACTGCTCAAAGGTGGTCTCTGGGCGGCTGAGTGAGCTAAGAATCTCACCATCCTCCTCTTTCTGCCAAAACCAAAATAACACAAGGTCTCATGCAGTGCAAAGATTAGTCATGATATAATGTGTGCTGAAAAATCTATAAAAACAGGTCAACTGCACATCAAGGATGGTGTTTGGACTTCAGCACTTGACAGGGAAGTTGATTTAATTTAAAATAGCTATTTTGTAGATATAATTTGGAAAATTTTCCCTCAGACAAAACTCAAGAGATAAAGAATGTATTTGTGTGGTGACTGGATCTGTCATGACCTGCTAACAGTTTTAGGTGCTGTTTTAACTTCTTGCTTGGCTTAATGATTTTCCAGAGGCCTCTCCCCTCATGTGCATTTTGAAACGAGAGGGATTTAAAATGGGGTTTATGCATCAGGTCAGTGGTTTCAGCTACTGGAAAATATGAATAAGTATTGACCCTGTGGTATGTTTAAGTACCTCTAAATACAGGACCTGCAATAATATATTATTAGCAAGACTCACTGTGTTTCGGAAAATGAGATTCCATCCATCAAAGGGAATATCCAAAGGCTCCCACTGTACTTCCACTGAAGTTTCTCGCACTGACTTAAATTTTAAACCCTCAGGCTCTGGAAGATCTAAAATTGACAAACCAAAGGTTTCACTATCTTTTCTCTCAACTTTAATAAATTACCATGGAATGCATTTACTTACGTGTTGCCACCCGACCAATAACAGGAACACTCTTCTTGTTGTTGAGTACAGCATAGACGCTGATCAAGTACTCCACACCAGGCTCAAGCTCTCGAACTGTGGCTTCTTTCTGATCCCCAGGCACCCGCATGTCAAGCTCCAGACCTCCAGGGGTGGTGGGCACATAGCTGATGAGGTACTCTTTCACACGCATTGCATTTTCCCAGGACAGGTCCACAGTTTCTGGGCTGACCTCCACGACAGTTAGGTCTTTGGGTGGTGAAACTGAGGAGAGATGCTGTCAATAAGTGGTCTGTACCAACACTGCCAACGTGTCTATGTTCTTCTAAGTAAAGCTGTAGGACAAACTGGCTGCATTTCCTCATGATTTCTTTGTCTCTCTTCCAGAGGAAGGTGCACCTGGACCAGTCTTTCTGTGATTCTCTGTGTCTCTTTCCTGTCCCCCCAAACCCAGCTGGTTAAGGCACATGTCCGCCTGTCCTAAGCCTGGTTCTGCAGGAGGTTTCTTCCTGTTAAGAGGGAGTTTTTCTCGCTAATGTGCTGCTCAGGATGGAGACTGTAATGAAGTGATTCAACATAATCTGCTGGCTTCTTTAGATTATTCTTTTTGTGTGTGTGTGTGTGTGTACAGTGCCCTGAGATGACATATGTTGTGACTTGGTGCTATATAAATAAACTGAATTGAATTGAAAGCATTTAGGAAACAATTGTTGTAGATAGATAGTCTCTGTATAACCTCTGTTTGAATAAATAGTTTTGTTTCTGAACAGACTGATGAGCTAACAGCTAGACAAATGTGGATTGCTGTCATCTTAAAACAATAAAAAATCTTCACAGTTTTATAGCTGGTAATGTGTATTTTACTATGCAAAACTTAACATTAAAGTTAGTTTCATGTTACACAGTTTATTTACTTGAACTTTTATGGTTATACAAAAAGTAAAAATTTTCTTCTACAGTTTGAAATTTGAAAACCATTGCCAAATTTTGCATATATATATAT